GATGGGTGCATAGCAACATTGAGGGACAGGATGGCTGTGTGGAGTGGGGTGAGGCCTGTGGAATGGAGACAGTGAGGGCTCTGCATCTGGAGCATGTACCCTGCCCAGCTCCACCTGCCACACCGGCCCTGCCCGCCACCCAACTTACCTTCAAAGTCTCTGGCTTCTAGGTCAACCCGAACCCCTGAGTTAATCACAGCCTGGGAAGAGAAAGCAGAGTGCTGGATTAGGGTCTTCCCAGGCCTCCTAACCCTGAAAGCTAGGATCTGGGCAACCAGTACACCCCAACTGCCATGACCATACCGAGAGAACTCCTGGGAGCCCATAGGTAGCAGCCATGTGCAAGACAGAACGTCCCTGATGGTCGGTGGCATTGGGCTCCGCTCCCAGGTTCAGTAGATCCTCCACAATCAGGGGTTGGTTGGCAGCAGCAGCCACCAGGAGAGGGGTCTGCAGGTGACAGGAAAGGTCAGTCTGGGCCCCCAGCCTCCTCCCCTCTGAAAACCAGGAATCCAGGCCCCCAGACCCTCTGTCCTCAGATTCAGGAGTCGAGGACCCTGGCACTCACCTTGCCCTTATGCTCACGAATGTCCAGACGTCTATACATTTGGAGCATCTCAGCTGCAGCATATGCTGCCCAGCGTAGCCCCCGAGCAGCAAACAGGTGCAGGAGCCTGAGGACGGGTGGGAGCAGCAGTAAGCACAGCCCCCCAGCTGGGCAGGGAGCCCAGACTCCGTTCCCCTATACTCACGTGTCTCCCTCCTCATCCTGGGCCAGCAGCTGTTGTGGTCCCAAGGCCACTATATGAGCACGGGCTGTTTCCAGGGATGGTCCGGGGACCACAGGGGGCAACTGTGGGGGTCCTGAGGGGAGTCCAGAACCTTTCCAAGATCCCACCTGTGGCAGGGAAGGTTCTGGATAAAGCCGAGTATCCAGGGGTTCCTGAGGGTACAGGTAGTGGGGAGAGCCAGTCAGATGAGGATTCCTTCTTCCCAACCCACCACACACATATACACATACAGTGCCAGGTACAGTGGTTGCGTGTCCCATCTGCGCCAAGTAAACTTGGACCTTTGGGGCTCAATTTTGCCCATCTGAGGAATGGGATCTTAACCCAGCCCCAGACATCTCAGAATGCTGCATGAAGGCAATTGGGAATTTTGGGGGCCCTTCAGCATCCTGTTTTCACTCTGAATCTCACCTCCATCCCCAAGGGAAATGGATACGGCCGCCCTGGGTCCAAGGGTGGGTAGAAGTCAGGAGTCAGGAAACCTTCAGCAGCAGAAGTAGGGTAAGAGTAGGAGCTGTCTGTGTAGGCAGCATGCGTGTTGGGGTCCCAGTCCAGAAAGCCCGTGGTGGGAAGCAGGCTGCCAAGTCCAGAACCCACAGTCTCCTGGTGTGCTGAGAAGTGGGTATGGCCTGCGTGTGAGAAGAGAAGCGGGGGCAGTCCTGGTTACCAGAGTTAGGGAAGTCACAGCCAAGGTTGGAGGACCTGTGTAAGGGCCTGGAGTCTCCCCAGGTGCTGAAAGCTAGTCACTTCTGGGACAGCAAGGGGCTGGGACCTAGAATCCTGGGACACCAAGGAGTTGGGAGGTTGGAATTCTGGGACCTGAACTCCTGGGACAACTCCTACGGGTTGACAGCCTAGACTTCCAGAGTACCAAAAGGCTGGGAGGCTGGGCCCCTGGCACACAAAAGGACTGTGTGCACGGACTGGGCTGCAGAGCATCTGGGAAATCAAACTTGCACTGGGTCCCAGCAAGATCAGGGCCTGACTCCTAAGTTCCCCAAAGTTCTAAGAGTTAGATTGTTTGCATCCCTCAGGGAAGGTGCAGCTGGGAGCTAAAGGAACCAGGTGAGTTTCCAGACTTACCAAGGTCACCCTCGTTCACAGATGGGGCCAGGGACTGGGCCAGGGGAGGCGGGAACTGTCCCTGTAGAGACAGAAGCAAAATGAAACAAGGGTGAATTTATCTGGCAGATTCCTCAGCATCCATTCCCCACCTATAGGGCGTCTAAGGACCATGTCTCTGTTCAGCCCTGAGGACCCAGCAAGCCAGCAAGTCCCTGGCCAACAGGACATGGCCTCCAGAGAGCTGTAGTTGACAGGGCTTCATGGGCCTCACCGGTGCCCCACCAGCGTCAGGCTGTTGCTGGCGCCGCCTCTGTTCTTCCAGTAGCTTCTTCACCGTCTGTGATGGGCAGTGGCTGCGCTCATTCCGGCTTACTGCGGGGGTAGGGGAAGAGAAGTAATCAGACCCAAGTGCGCGGGAAAGGGTTTGAGCGCCCTCCTCGCCCTCCCGCGCGGAAAAACTGGCACACTGATGCCGCCTGAGAACTCCAAAGCCAATCTAAGATTTCGGATGCGGCGCCCGCCTCCGCCGTTTCCTTCCTTTTGCTCCGCAATTTCCCCGCTGACCCAACTTTCCACCAGCGTCGTGGAAACTGAGGACAGGGGAAGAGGGCGCCCCTCTGCGCCCCCGCTACTTCCGTGAAAAAATGTAAACCCCCCCCCAGATCTCCCAGTCCTGAGGCCTCGGGGATCGCTGGACATCACATCCTGGACTTGCACATCCAGGTTCCCAACATCTCTTTGCCCAAGAAGCTGCCCAGATACTCTTTCTTCGGAAAACCAGGCGTCCCTAGCCCTTCTCCCGGGGAAACCACGATTTAGTAGTCTCCTAGCTTATCAGAGATTCAGACGTCCAGACCCCACCCCCACCTTCAGACCTAGGCGTCCAGGACCCATCCCGCAAGAGTCTAGCACCCCTTCTCCCAGGACCCAGGAGTCCGGACCTTCAGCCTCCTGGTTCCCTAGGACCTGACCTAGTTCCCATACGCCTCTTTCGCACGGCCCGGGAACTCCGTACCCTCAACCCTCACGCTTCCGAGTTCCGGCACAGAAAGGGTTAAGGGGTGTAGGGCCGACTCGAAAACAGCCCGGACGCGACGCGCTGATGTCACGGCGCTCACGCAAGGGAATCTTCCATCTCCCCCCCTTCCTCTCTCAGTCCTGCGCCCCAGGTGTCTGGCTCGGAGGCGGGGCGCGCGGCCAAGCGTGGCGCATGTGGAATCCCCGCACGTGGGGAATTCCTGCTCAGCCCGGGGACCCGGGATGGGTGGCGACTCGGGAAGTCCCGGAGCTGGGGCAGAGTCACAGCCAGCGTGGACCCTGCGGCCGGGCGCCAGACCTCTACTGAGACCCGTGGCTGATTTTAAGTAACCACGCCCCCAAGGATTCAATCCGGCACCGCTTTCTAGGGGGAAGGGGTCCGGGCCGCCAGCCCCTCCTCCCACAGGACCCAGGGGTCCGGGTTCCCCGCCTTTTCACCTCCAGGACCCAGGATCCCGGATCCCCAGTCCCCTTCCCCCCACAGGACCTAGAAGTCCAGAATCCCAGCTGCTTTTCCATCCTGACCCCGGAGTCCGGGCCCCGTCTCCCCCTCCAAACTCTTGGTACCCTCAATCTCAGGACCCAGGAGTTGATGCTCCAGCTCCATGCCTCTGAGTCTCAAGAGTCCGACTCCCAGCCCCTCACTCTTCCGGGGCCGAGTGAACCTCACCTCCCATCCCTCTAGTACCTCGGGGATTCCGTGACGCTGATTGCAGGCCCCCAGGGCCCCGGCCTCGGCGCTGCGCCAGCCTCGCTGTTACCCGCGGAGCCGCCGCCGGGTCCCAGATCTTGGGTCAAGTCCCCCGCGAGTTTTTAAACGGGGGTTCTGGCACCGCCCAGTGCCGGGCAAGGCCCCGCCCACAGCCCGGGAGTCCCCGCGTCGCGCTTGAGCAAACCCAGACTCCGAAGGGGCGAGGCTGACTTTGAGCACCCGACTCTTGAGTATAGGGAAAGAAGGAGCTGGGGGCCTCCCTACTTTTGGTCTGAGGGAAAAGGGCCTGAGATACTGGACTCCTGAAGGAAGAGGGCACAGGGGGCCTGGATTTCTGGGTCTCTGTCCTAGGGTGCTGGAGACCTTGACACCTGGGCCCTGGACTGGGGGTGAGGGGAGGGGCAATATTACTGGGTCCTAGGAGAGGAGGGGACTGGAGGTCCGGACTCCCAGGTATCCAGGGAGGAAAGGCCTGTAGGTAACAGTGATATAGGTGGACTCAAATTTCTCCCCCCCCCCCCCCCCCCCCCCGTTGCCTTCTCATTTTTCATAGGTCAGTTCTCATTTATGTATTCATCATTTAAAATAATGTGTTACTGCAGGGGAAGCCCTTTGCTGGGTGATAAGTATAGCTGTGAACTAAGCAGGCAGGAATTCCCAGCCCTCAAGCTGACTGACATTCCAGTGGGAGGCAGTTCTCAGTTCCCATTTTGGTGACTATCCACAGCACTGACCATGTGAATCATATTTTTCTCCCATGCTTTCAAGACTCCACACTCTCCTGGTTCTTCTCCCTCACTTGCTGCTCCTTCTCAGTTTCCCTGGCTGTTTTCTCCTCTACACCCACGGGTGGGGGTGGGGGGGGCTCTCTGTCTCACTTCCTTGGTGATCTCATCCAGTCTTGTGGCTTTAAATACCATCCATAAGCCATCAACCCCCAAATTTACATCTCCAGACCAGACTTAACTCCTGAACTCATAGAGGCAGCTGTAGTCATTCAACTTCTCTACAGGGAAATCTATCACAAATTTCCAATTCAGTGGGCCCAAACCTCAACAAGTCCCCCCTCCCAAAAAAACCTGCTTCCCCTCCTCCATGCTATCAAAGAATGTTCTGTCTTTTCAGTTGCTCAAGCCAGAGGCTTTGGTCGTCTTGGATCCCTCTCTGTCATACACACACTTAACGTATTCCATCAACAAGTTTTATTGGCTCTACCTCCACAATGTTTCCAGAATCTCCCCATACCCTTGTCCACCTGTCACCTCCCACCTGGACAGTTGTAGCAGCCTACCCG